TGTTGTAGTTATAGCCCCCTTGCCAGCGATTCTCTCTCTAGTTTAGCATACTCAGCCCGACTCAGCCTGGTTGTTCCTGGCCCTAGAACCACGATTTATGGCGCATTTCCACTGCAGCGGGTAGCCCCGTTTAAGCGTCCTTAATCGTCCTCAAGCGGCCAGGCCAGTTTTTGGTGGCCTTTCCATATAGCATAGCACCGGCTAGCGGGTACTTTTTCCCTCTTTTTCCGGCCCCATAAAATCGTGGTTCTATCAGGCCAGGGCCAGGGCTGAACTAGTGACGTCAACACTCTCGACTGCTGATTGGCCAGAGAGAATCGTCACAAGATCGCGCACAAGATCATCCCTAGCGTCGCATATATATCTAGAAGCAAGCTTGCAGCATTTTTATACACAGCATTTTTGTAAACGGAGGAGCTACAAAAATGGCAACGTCAAAGAAAAGCACACCGTGGTCGACCGAGGAGGTGACGACGTTCCTACATCTCATTGGGGATGATAAAATCCAGCGGGAGCTCGACGGAACAACAAAGCCGATCGCCCCGCCTACACTGCGTTGCTAACCCAGGTCCTAAACTGTAATGGAAATGCGCCACGGCCTCGGACGGCCAGCGAGGCAGCCCGAGGCCTGAGCGAGGACGCTTAGGGACGCTTAAACGGGGCTACCCCGCTGCAGTGGAAATGTGCCATAAGTCGGGCCAGAAAAAAGGTGAAAAAGTAGCCCCGGGCCAAAACTAGGCCAAGTGGAAATGCAACCAAAAACGGGCCCCGCACGGCTCGGCACGCTTAAAGCGAGCTACCCGCTGCAGTGGAAACGCGCTATTACGGAGCGTCCACACTACAGCTTCAAAAAAAGCTTGGAGCTGGGCGTGTCTGAAGCTTGGGGATTTTATTCAAGCAACGCGACCAACAACCAATCACATGAATCTCCCGCCCCCGACATACAAAGCAAAAACCTCCGGGGATTTTATGGGAGCAATATATATATAAACTCCCCAAACAGGCGAAAACCTAGCAGTTTCACCCACTGTCTCTGCCACCTCCCTCCATGCCTGGTTCCTCCGGTTTGTATCCCGGTAGGTGAAGAGGGTCTGGTCATACAAAACCGGGTGATTTGCTACGGCGATAATTAGTTTCTCCTCCATCTTTTTTTGAAATATAGAAATTAACGGCAGGATATCTCTCCCAGCTTAGACGGGGTTTGATTGGCTACAGCTTGAGCTGTCAGATTTTCCGAAACGGGATTTGATTGGCTGGCGCTGGCTACTCCGGCGTCTCCGGCGTCAGAAGTTGAACATTATTCAACTTCTGACGCCGGAGACGGCGGAGACGGACCGCTATGCTACCCACAATTCAGTTCGGCGAAAAAGCGAGGCAACGTGACGTCACCCAATTCAAAGTGAATGGGCAGATTGAAGCTGTCGACGCTGTAGTGTGGACGGGCCGTTTGTGGGTTGCTTCATGTATAGCGGTGGATTATGCTGCTCTGAGGGAACTGATCATGTTGGAGGAGTTCAAGGGATGTTTGCCTGATCGCATTGCTAACATTTCTGCCTTGTGTGTTTTTCATATACAGGTGGGTTCTAAGTCCTTCAATTGACACCATAGTGTCCCAGTATAAGGGGTATAAGTGTTGTGATTGAGTGTGATATGTCTAATTGTTGTTTTAGGCAGTTATGTATAGTTATGTGCAATGTGACGCTAACGGCTAGCGGAGCTAACGCTAAGGTGAAACAGTACTATGTAGACACGTGTTGCTTGGTGTATGATGTAAATTACTATGAGAGGTAGATTGTGTTTATGCATATAGGTTGTATATGTTTCTTTGAAGTGTGTGTATTGTATTGGAATTTGAGTGTGAGGATAACAGTGAGTTCTGAGTGTGATGATTTTATTGTACATTTCTGTATTTTTACCATGATGTCATCGTTGTTATGTGGATGCTGTTGCCTTATTGATCTCTGGTGTTGTTGCCTCATGGAAATGAGCATGGATAAATGCTTTTGTTGTGGATTGTTTCCAAATGAGGAGATTAAATCCTGCAGTTGAGCAACAAACAAGCTAACATTTCTGCCTTGTGTGTTTTTCATATACAGAGGTAGAGTCTGCTGCTGGCCCAGGTACCACTAGGCCTGAGGCCATTAACACTTACATCCTGATTTATGAGTCAACAATGAAGCAGTTTGTGGTTCTGGTCATGTGGCATGTGTATTTGTTTATTGGTTCATGTGTGTAGCATTTTTAATGGCAGTGTTTTGAAAAAGGCAAACAAGTGAATATGTCAGATTCCTGTGTCTTACTTAACGAACTGTGTGCAGTGTTTTTCAAAAAGCATCTTCTCAATGTATACAGTTTGCAGTACTGTACACCGGGCACTGATGGACGTTAAACTACAACCTTTTAAAGCTTTTTTTCAACTTCCATCTTTGAAGTCCACATGAGCATTAAACTCATACAGCTGTATAACAATATGTCCAAGGCGATATATGAACAGGTTTGGTATCCAAACAGTAACCTGGTTACAGCAGTAGATGGCAGCAGCAGAGCGTCATGGTGCAGGTGTCTCCTACAGCTCTTCGTTCTGACACTCTGCAGACAGCTGCTGCTCAAAGTGAAAACATAATGCAAATGTATAAGAAACAATGCAAATGACACCTGCATATTTCCATTTGATTTAAACTAATTTACATATCATCAAGCACTGTCACTATTTCTATATATCCCACAGACTATAGACGTGTTTAAATATGAAGGATTGTTCACCTGTTAACTATTTATTTCTTATTTTTGATATATATTTTTGTATACTTATATAATTGTCACCTACTGGTGTGGATAATCGTCATGTAAACTGCAAACCATTATTTGTCCAGCTTTGATGTCTTTGCTAAGCTGTTAAACGGCGTGTGCTCACATGGTTGGCCAATAATACGGGTTCTGATTGTGAGGGTGCAGCCATAAAGACAGTGGCATCTTGGGTTTGTATTTTTTACTCAGTATCGCCTTCATGTACATTTGAACTTTAAACCAAGTTGAGAGGTAATATAATCAGAACAAATGATAAGTCATGAGAGATATGTGGCTTTAGTTTCCTTCTAAGGAAATAAAAGTCAAGGTGTAATAAGACCATATAATCATCACATTTGATATGGACCTGCCTCGCCTCTTATGTTTGCTTTGTCAGCAGTAAAACCATTTAAAACTGTGTGCTCCTTAGCATCCTATCATTCACAGCTATAAGCAGGAGCTACACATCACTGCCTTTATAGCAGCGAACACAAAGCATCAAGACCAGAATCATCCTAACATTTACATTTGCTTCTCAATTTAATTTCATTGTATGAGTAATTTAACAGCACACAAACCCAAAACGGATTTATTTAATGTTTTATTGAGTCTGAGCGCAACATATTAGCATTATGAATCATACTAGTCAACAACAAGATGTTCACTCCCTCCCTTCTTTCTACATTGACCTTCTTTTCTGTAATTCTTGTTATTTTTCTTTCAATGACGTCAAAGGTTGAACGTTTAAAGTTCATATATTCTCATTCTACAACTCAGGGTGTGGGTTATGGTAAATGTAAGTTGTAGTGACGTTTTCCTACAAAAAAGATCAACAACTCTATCTGTGCTGCATGGAGGATGAGTTCAAGAGTCTCACAGCGAGGAGAGAAGCTCGCCTGTAGTTTGTTCGGATTATTCAGTATCGTTGCCAGATGGCAGCAGGATGAACACAATGTGGCTTCAATAGGTGCTGTCTTTAAACATGTTGGGCTCTAAGCAGTCTATTACATATATCACTGAGTGGTTTGTGGTCTCAAGGTCCTAGGTGCCTCAAGGGGCGGTAACCCTCGAACCTCCTGGTGGACACCGGTGGTCAGGGAAGCCGTCCGACTGAAGAAGGAGGCCTTCAGGGATTTGTTATCCCGGGGGACTCCCGAGGCAGTTGCAAGGTACCGACAGGCCCGAAGGGCAGCAGCCTCATCCGTTGCCGAGGCAAAGCAGCGGGTGTGGGAGAAGTTCGGAGAAGACATGGAGAAGGACTTTCGGGCGGCACCAAAGTTGTTCTGGAAAACTGTCCGACACCTCAGGAGGGGGAAGCAGGGGACCATCCAAGCTGTGTACAGTAAGGATGGGACGTTGTTGACCTCAACTGATGGAGTGTTAGGGCGTTGGAAGGAACACTTTGAGGAACTCCTGAACCCGACAACTCCGCCCTCTATGTTAGAGGCAGAGCTGGAGTATGACGGGGGATCAACACCAATCTCCCGGGGGGAGGTCACTGAGGTCGTCAAACAACTCCACAGTGGCAAAGCCCCGGGGGTGGATGAGATCCGCCCGGAAATGCTGAAGGCTCTGGGTGTTGAGGGACTGTCATGGTTGACACGTCTCATCAACGTTGCGTGGAAGTCGGAAACAGTACAGAAGGAGTGGCAGACCGGGGTGGTGGTTCCCCTTTTTAAAAAGGGGGATCAGAGGGTGTGTGCCAATTACAGAGGCATCACACTACTCAGCCTCCCCGGGAAAGTTTACTCTAAGGTACTCGAAAGGAGGGTCAGGCCGATTGTCGAACCTCAGATTGAGGAGGAACAATGCGGATTCCGTCCTGGTCGTGGAACGACGGATCAGCTTTTTACTCTCGCAAGGATCCTGGAGGGGGCCTGGGAGTACGCTTATCCGGTCTACATGTGTTTTGTAGACTTGGAGAAGGCGTATGACCGAGTTCCCAGGGAGTTACTGTGGGAGGTGCTGCGGGAGTATGGGGTGAGGGGGGTCTCTACTCAGGGCCATCCAATCTCTGTACTCCCAAAGCGAGAGCTGTGTCCGGGTCCTCGGCAGTAAGTCGGACCCATTTCCGGTGAGGGTTGGCCTCTGCCAGGGCTGCGCTTTGTCACCAATCCTGTTTGTAATATACATGGATCGGATTTCGAGGCGTAGTCATGGGGGAGGGGGTCTGCAGTTCGGTGGACTAAGGATTGCACCACTGCTTTTTGCAGATGATGTGGTTCTAATGGCTTCATCGGTCTGCGACCTTCAGCACTCACTGGATCGGTTCGCAACCGAGTGTGAAGCGGCTGGGATGAGGATCAGCACCTCCAAATCTGAGGCCATGGTTCTCAGCAGGAAACCGATGGACTGTCCACTCCAAGTAGGGAATGAGTTCTTACCCCAAGTGAAGGAGTTCAAGTATCTCGGGGTCTTGTTCTCGAGTGAGGGAACAATGGAGCGTGAGATGGGCCGGAGAATCGGAGCAGCGGGAGCGGTACTGCAGTCGCTTTACCGCACCGTTGTGACGAAAAGGGAGCTGAGCCAGAAGGCAAAGCTCTCTGTCTTCCGGGCCATTTTCGTTCCTACCCTCACCTATGGTCATGAAGGATGGGTCATGACCGAAAGAACGAGATCGCGGATACAAGCGGCCGAGATGGGTTTTCTCCGCAGGGTGGCTGGTGTCTCCCTTAGGGATAAGGTGAGAAGTTCGGTCATCAGGGAGGGACTCGGAGTTGAGCCGCTCCTCCTTCGCGTCGAAAGGAGCCAGTTGAGGTGGTTCGGGCACCTAGTTAGGATGCCACCTGGGCGCCTCCCTAGGGAGGTGTTCCAGGCACGTCCAGCTGGGAAGAGACCAAGGGGTAGACCTAGGACCAGGTGGAGGGATTATATCTCTTCGCTGGCCTGGGAGCGCCTTGGGATCCCCCAGTCAGAGCTGGTTGATGTCGCCAGGGAAAAGAAAGTTTTGGGCTCTCTGCTGGAACTGCTACCCCCGCGACCCGACCACGGATAAGCGGGAGAAGATGGATGGATGGATGGATGGATGGATGGTTTGTGGTTATATCACACATTAGCAGACATTAAGGGATATTACAATAACCCAAATATTATGTGTTTCAATATTTGTTATTTCTATTCTCCATCAGTGCTGCCCAGAGTCCAACACTGGTGTCCAAACTTGAAGCCCTGCAGTGCCACTTCAAATGGGATCTTGACATCAGTACGTCCTTACTTAGTCATCGCAAGTACTACCTGGAGGACATTGGCACCAATGATGGAAACCCCTGGCTGGGTCACATCTACAACCTGCTAGGGTTCATTCAGTACAAGCTGGGATCCAATGAAGAAGCCCAGAAGTTCTTCAACAAGGCTACAGAGGCCTTCAGCCGGATAAGAAGTGCAGGTGAGGGCCCCTGGTTAGTGGTGAACTACGGGAACCTGGCTTGGCTGCACCACCACCTGGGAGACCAAGCAGGAAGTGAGGCCTACCTGTCTAAGATCGACACCCTGATTAAAAAATACCCTTCTCCATCCCAGGAGGAGCTCCACCCGGAGACCTACGCTCAAAAAGCCTATGCGCTGATGACGGTCAGTGGAGACAAAACACTTGTTGGAGATAACTTCCAGAGAGCCATCGAGATGCAGCCAGGCATACGAGAGTGGAACACTAGCCATGCCTTAGCCTTAATGTATGCTTCTAAGCACAACAGGACAGGGCTGGAAGATGACATCTTGGAGAAAATGAGAATTGCCCAAGAACAGGATCCAGAGAACTTGTACCTTGCTGCTCAATACCTTGATCAACGTGCTCAGAGAGGAGAAAGAATAGAAGCTGAAGCACGTGAGTTAGCCACAAAGGTTTTGAGAAGTCCTGTCAGCAGCTACAGTGGTTTAAAACCATTGCTCAGGCTTTACACAAAGTATATATCTGTTGATGAGGCCATCGTTTTGGCAGAGAAGGCTCTGAAGAACCATCCAGATGAGCGTTATCTGAAGAGATGTGCTGCACGCTGCTACAATTGGAAGATCTTTGGTGACAAGTACAGTCGTCCAAAGCAAGACATAATAGCCAGAGCAATCCTTCTCCTTGAGGAGGTGATTGATCTTTACCCTGATTCCTCATTTAGGAAGAAAATAGACCTTGCTCAGATATACGCACTGCCACATGATGGTCAGGCTAAAGCTGATCAGATCTATCAGGTACTGCTAGAAAGTGATCTGGAACTTGCAGACAAACAAATGCTTTACAACAACTATGCAAAATATTTATATTTCCACAAACACAATATCAACATGTCAATACAATATCACATGAAGGCAGCAGAGATACCGCACCAATCCTTCTTTCGTAAGAACAGCATCAAAGAACTGGAGAAGAGTAGAGACAGAGGCAGGGACAGCATGTGCGGAGAAATAAGGGATTTTCTGGCAAACCTGAAAGAGCCGTAGTGTTCTAAACAGCAATGGTTTGAAATCCAGGAAAAATATATTGTATTAGCAAAAATAATCTGTTCATCCTCATAAATTTGATTGGCTGCAAATAAGAACACACATGTTTTTCTTCTATTGGTCGGGTAATACACAAGGCAGCAACACCCATACTCTGAAACTGTAACGTACATTTTTCTATATTGGTTTTAGACTTTCATCGTTAAAACTGACCTAAATGTGTTATATTTTGAACTGTCTCATTTGCTGGTTTCAACTGTGCTTTACACTTTAGTAGCAGACAAACGCTATTTAAAAATACAAATGAGCTTCGCACTGTTTTTAGGCTGTGTCTTAATTGTTAAATACAAAAACTAAATATACATAATGTTTGCTAATAAACTCTTTGTAAACTCAAACCTTGTAAGCTACAAGCTTAACATGTGGATACTTTTAAAGAAGCAAAAATGTAATCAAAATCAAATGCTCTTTATTAAAAAAGTGTTTATTGATACATTTTGCCTGTAACTTTAAATTATTTCCAAGATTTGTGTTTTGGAATTAAAACGTTTAAACACAATTATTAATTAATTTCCTTGTTATTGAAAATTGTATTGGTGCATATGTAAATAATATATTATTATCAAATGTATTTCTTTAGATTTGCACATGTCCTTCTATTTATATGGTGAGCGGTGAAAACTGAAATCACAACTGTACTTGTATTATGTCTTGTTTTATCTTAACTTTACTGTAAATAAAATCCCGAAGCATCAATCATGACTTTGGTCCTTGTTTTCTTCCAACTTCCAAAAACACACGACTAATTAAATCAGGTCTTTATTTCTAACATGTCAGAGTGTTGTGTGTGAACCACAGAATGAGGCTGAAAGGCTGCAGATGGACTGAGTAAAAGTATACTGTCTATACATGGCTCGTTCTCTCAAAACACTTTTAAACACGATTCACAAAACCACACACCCAAAGTGCAAAACCCCTCATATGTCTTGCAAAATATAGCACTGCACTCATAAACACTTAACAAAACCAAACCTTTTCACCAAATGGCACACACTTCATTTATCGGACAATACACTTTGTCGAACCAACTAAACACCATTGTGTAACTCACAGTGGAATAATCTAGTAAATGAAATGTATGGAATGGAAAAAATAACCATGAGAATAAGAAGCCACGTTCATATCTTTGATGAAATGTGGGAAGAATGAAAGTATAAATGGTATATCCATTCTGTGTTAGCTATATCTACGTTTTTGTTAATCCCTTTTTTCTAATTGTTGGATTGTTGTGTAGTTATCTAATGTATTTAAGTGCTGATTTTGTTATGTATGCCCTGTAACCAAATCATTTCTTAAAATGCAAAAGTGCTACAGGATGTACCCTTGTACTCCAGATGACACGTCGCCCGTCCTGTTGGCACATGAGTAATCTAGATCATTAAAGTAATCTTAGTTCATGCATAACAGAGGAACTGATAAACATGATATTACAGTTTTTTTCAATTGATAGAACACATTTTTTTAAAGCAGGGCTTATTTTCTCAAAACACTAAACACAACTCACATCCATACACCCAAAGTGCGAAACACCTCATATATCTTGCAAAATGAAGCACTGCACCCAAAACTACATAAACACTTACCAAAACCAAACCTTTGCACCAAATGGCACACACTTCATGTATAGCACAAGACACTTTGTCCTACCAACTACACACTGTGGTGCTCCATCTAAAGCACACTCAGCTTTTATGGCATTCTGTATGTAGAGAATTCAGCGTATAAAGATTGTTCAAGTCTAAGAAATATGTGCAGAAAAACAAATATACAGTTGTTATACTTTTAATCTTCTCCAAAACTAATTGGTGCAACATTCATGCACAACCCATAGTTACAGTTGTGTAAAAAAGGATGCCTCAAATACAGTCATTGGAAAGGGACCCTTTGAGGAAAAATAAATACAAATATATTTTTTAAAACAGATGACAGATATATACTCAGGCTTCATTTTACCACCTAGCTGGGTCTGACCACAGCTCCTCATCAACATGAAGAAAAAGCATTACTCTATAGGCCTGACGGTCATATCTTCAACCGTGATGCTGCAAATAACTCTTCAACTGACTTCAGTTCATCCTCCCTCTCTCTTATCCTTCCTCTACCTCTTCCTCTTGCTGCTGTCCATATATCCATGTTTGTTCCAAAAGTTCTTAGGCTTCTTCTGGTGCTTACATCCTGATTTATGAGTCAACAATGAAGCAGTTTGTGGTTCTGGTCATGTGGCATGTGTATTTGTTTATTGGTTCATGTGTGTAGCATTTTTAATGGCAGTGTTTTGAAAAAGGCAAACAAGTGAATATGTCAGATTCCTGTGTCTTACTTAACGAACTGTGTGCAGTGTTTTTCAAAAAGCATCTTCTCAATGTATACAGTTTGCAGTACTGTACACCGGGCACTGATGGACGTTAAACTACAACCTTTTAAAGCTTTTTTTCAACTTCCATCTTTGAAGTCCACATGAGCATTAAACTCATACAGCTGTATAACAATATGTCCAAGGCGATATATGAACAGGTTTGGTATCCAAACAGTAACCTGGTTACAGCAGTAGATGGCAGCAGCAGAGCGTCATGGTGCAGGTGTCTCCTACAGCTCTTCGTTCTGACACTCTGCAGACAGCTGCTAATCAAAGTGAAAACATAATGCAAATGTGTAAGAAACAATGCAAATGACACCTGCATATTTCCATTTGATTTAAACTAATTTACATATCATCAAGCACTGTCACTATTTCTATATATCCCACAGACTATAGACGTGTTTAAATATGAAGGATTGTTCACCTGTTAACTATTTATTTCTTATTTTTGATATATATTTTTGTATACTTATATAATTGTCACCTACTGGTGTGGATAATCGTCATGTAAACTGCAAACCATTATTTGTCCAGCTTTGATGTCTTTGCTAAGCTGTTAAACGGCGTGTGCTCACATGGTTGGCCAATAATACGGGTTCTGATTGTGAGGGTGCAGCCATAAAGACAGTGGCATCTTGGGTTTGTATTTTTTACTCAGTATCGCCTTCATGTACATTTGAACTTTAAACCAAGTTGAGAGGTAATATAATCAGAACAAATGATAAGTCATGAGAGATATGTGGCTTTAGTTTCCTTCTAAGGAAATAAAAGTCAAGGTGTAATAAGATCATATAATCATCACATTTGATATGGACCTGCCTCGCCTCTTATGTTTGCTTTGTCAGCAGTAAAACCATTTAAAACTGCGTGCTCCTTAGCATCCTATCATTCACAGCTATAAGCAGAAGCTACACATCACTGCCTTTATAGCAGCGAACACAAAGCATCAAGACCAGAACCATCCTAACATTTACAGAACTACTGCGTCGAATAAACAGCTGAATGATGAGGTGAGAAGCTGCTTCTCAATTTAATTTCATTGTATGAGTAATTTAAGAGCACACAAACCCAAAACGGATTTATTTAATGTTTTATTGAGTCTGAGCGCAACATATTAGCATTATGAATCATACTAGTCAACAACAAGATGTTCACTCCCTCCCTTCTTTCTACATTGACCTTCTTTTCTGTAATTCTTGTTATTTTTCTTTCAATGACGTCAAAGGTTGAACGTTTAAAGTTCATATATTCTCATTCTACAACTCAGGGTGTGGGTTATGGTAAATGTAAGTTGTAGTGACGTTTTCCTACAAAAAAGATCAACAACTCTTTATCTGTGCTGCATGGAGGATGAGTTCAAGAGTCTCACAGCGAGGAGAGAAGCTCGCCTGTAGTTTGTTCGGATTATTCAGTATCGTTGCCAGATGGCAGCAGGATGAACACAATGTGGCTTCAATAGGTGCTGTCTTTAAACATGTTGGGCTCTAAGCAGTCTATTACATATATCACTGAGTGGTTTGTGGTTATATCACACATTAGCAGACATTAAGGGATATTACAATAACCCAAATATTCAATATTTGTTATTTCTATTCTCCATCAGTGCTGCCCAGAGTCCAACACTGGTGTCCAAACTTGAAGCCCTGCAGTGCCACTTCAAATGGGATCTTGACATCAGTACGTCCTTACTTAATCATCGCAAGGACAACCTGGAGGACATTGGCACCAATGATGGAAACCCCTGGCTGGGTCACATCTACAACCTGCGAGGGTTCATTCAGTACAAGCTGGGATCCAATGAAGAAGCCCAGAAGTTCTTCAACAAGGCTACAGAGGCCTTCAGCCGGATAAGAAGTGCAGGTGAGGGCCCCTGGTTAGTGGTGAACTACGGGAACCTGGCTTGGCTGCACCACCACCTGGGAGACCAAGCAGGAAGTGAGGCCTACCTGTCTAAGATTGACACCCTGATTAAGAAATACCCTTCTCCATCCCAGGAGGAGCTCCACCCGGAGACCTACGCTGAAAAAGGCTATGCGCTGATGACGGTCAGTGGAGACATAACACTTGTTGTACATAACTTCCAGAGAGCCATCGAGATGCAGCCAGGCATACGAGAGTGGAACACTAGCCATGCCTTAGCCTTAATGTATGCTTCTAAGCACAGCAGCACAGGGCTGGAAGATTACATCTTGGAGAAAATGAGAATTGCCCAAGAACAGGATCCAGAGAACTTGTACTTTGCCGTTCTCTACCTTGATCAACGTGCTCAGAGAGGAGAAAGAATAGAAGCTGAAGCACGTGAGTTAGCCACAAAGGTTTTGAGAAGTCCTGTCAGCAGCTACAGTGGTTTAAAACCATTGCTCAGGGTTTACACAAAGTATATATCTGTTGATGAGGCCATCGTTTTGGCAGAGAAGGCTCTGAAGAACCATCCAGATGAGCGTTATCTGAAGAAATGCGCTGCACGCTGCTACAATTGGAAGATCTTCGGTGACAAGTACAGTCGTCCAAAGCAAGACATAATAGCCAGAGCAATCCTTCTCCTTGAGGAGGTGATTGATCGTTACCCTGATTCATCATT